CATGCATAAATCATTTGCTATAATATCTCAGGAGAGAGCTTGTTTATAGACATCATTATGAAGAGTGAAAAATATTGGCTTAGGAAACACCTCCAATCTACAAATACCTTGCATCCAGAAATAATCAGAAATTAACAATATGCATACATAACAAATTACACAGATATGTGCCAGAAAACAAAGTGAAGTCATCAGATACATTGTCCTTTATCTAATTAGAAAAAAAATATTTGTTTTTTGGTGGAGAGAAAGTGGTAACTTAGCTCCAATTTATTTCCAAGAAGAATGTTTTCCTTGTTTAATACATAGAGTTTGGCATTTTATTTGATTCTGTATTATTTATCCCCATAAAAGGTTTCATTATATATGTCCTCAAGCAAATCCCCTTGTGTACCCAAGGGGACTATTTTGGTAATTCAAAAGGATTGAAAAAATTTTAGCACTGAAAGGAAAATTTAGTGCTTTGAGACCCCATACCAAACAGTTAAATTGGCTACTGTGTTTACCAAGGGTCAAATCATTGTTCAGAATGGTCTTCATCACAAACAGGTCCACCTACCAGTGGGAACTTGGAGTCCAGGATATGGGCCTGAATAAAAAGTAAACTGCTCTTTGCATTCAGAAGCAGATCTGCATATGTATTAAAAAATGAATACACATTATAATTTACCACATGGCAAGAGACTAGGGGAATATATGGTATCCTTCCATGTAGCTATTTGTTGGGTTCCAGTAATGGAACTTGCTGTTTAATCTTTGTGTTTATTTTCTACCAATGGTAAGGTAAACTGCTTGGTCATGAACAACTAAATTATGGACAAATAAAATATTTGATGACCTAAATACCCCATATTATAGGAAAGCTGTCCATTATGGTGGTTGGGGTGTGTGGATTTCAGTGCAGGCAGTCCCTGTACTAAGTATAAGGACAGTGTATTTAATTTTCATTTACAATGCTAGTTTATTCAATATTCACTGAACTCTTTGCTCACTACAGGAAGCTATAGAACTTATTTATACACTAAAAGTCAAATTATAGAATAATAGATGGGCCAAATGACCAGTTTCTGAAATCTTTACATGAATTTTTAGACCATAGGAACGAACAGTTTGATATATGTTTAATTATACAGCTCCTTAGAAGTTATGACTTACAATGTCCTTGGAAAAGTCACTAGAAATCTTTTATTGTAAATCTATTTCCGAGGAACCCACAAACATACTTCAAATTTTCCTACTTTATTTGATTTTCAGTTGCTTGGCAAACCTAAATGGATTTGCTTATCGATGCTTTGTACATATGATTATCCTTTTTTCTCACTTCTCACTTCTGACTGCCCCCACACAGATACCCCAGCTTCTTTCAATGACCAAATCTCTGTTAGTTTAGGGAAATTCTTACATCTTGTTAAGATACTCTATATCATATTTGCATATTACCCAAATACTCATTATTGTAATGCATAGCTATAAATCACCAAACAGGTAGTTCTATCTGAATATTGGAAGATTAACACTGCTCTAAAAGCAGAATCACAAATATCAAAGGTTATCTCAGAATTATCAATCTGTGCAATGGACAGAAGGAATAAAACATAGGATTGAATTATAAAAATATAAAATTTAATTTATATAATGATTTAATTACTGTTTCAAAGAATCCTATAACATTTACTTACAGAAAAGGAAGGAATAACACTCTTTACCTTTTGTGTGCACAGATAAAAACAATCTGCCAATTGAAAATAGTTTGGATATGAAGAAAGTCTATAAAATGGATTAACTGAATGTTTATAACTGTTCAAAATAACTAAAGTGGACATATTTATGATTTTCTAATATCAAACATTATTGATAGGAGAAAGTCAATTATTCAGGTATCTCCTCAGTTCAGATATTTGACAAAATATAGGGGAGGGGAACCACTCTGTGAATTTGACAGGTTTTTCAGCTTCCCCACTTCTCTTACTTGAGATCTCCTTTTCATATGCACCCCATTCTTCCAACATGTACAAAAGCAAATGCTTAGTCATTCCTCCATAATTATTTCTTCATTATCTCAACCTTCTCACAGATTGCACCCCAACTAGAAAGCTGGGCCTCATCCTTGACACACCCCTGTCCAGTTTCTTAATAAGTGGCATCAATTGTATTTCCAGCAAAAAGAACAAATCCTTTCTCCTTTTCTGCCTCTTCAAAGTAACCCCTAACAGATCTCTTCTTTTGCATTAGAACTTTTTGAGGAGACTCCAGCTGATTCATCTTCATCCTCCACAATGCACATGGCTCTTCACGGTATAAGTGAAACATTGATAGAACTTTCTTTCAAATGTACCATAAGTCAAAAATAATTATAAGTTGCTAAATGAAGTTAAGATAGCAAGATATTAGATGTAGAATAAGATCAAATTTAATTATTTCATTTATGCTGATTCTGCACTTCCTGTGTTTAAGGCACTGGAAGAGGCATTAGTTATTCAAACAATGATTAGAATAGTTAATTTTCTTGTAAACCAACAAGTTTTATATAGAGAAATCAATTCCAAATCAATGACCTCTGCATAACAACTGCACAAGAAGTGTAACTAACTCAGCATAATTCCAACAGGCCTAATGGGGATTTGGCAGGATCTGGCTTTCACGATGCAAAGTTCTTTCCAGTATTATCCCTGTTTTCCTTAGCTTATTATACCAGATCATGTATGATTCCCCTCTCCTACAGGTTGTGTAATTTTGGTGGATTATTGCCTAAGTATACCTGGTTGATTCATGCGTATTTCTAAAGCTTCTCCCCACCCCCACTGCCCCATGTTGCAAAGCAATTCCTGCCCCACTCTAGGCTCAAAGAAGAAAAGAGTTCAGAATTAAGTAAAACAGCTGGAGGGTTGCCCAAGTGCCAAAAATAAGGGTTCAAAAGTGTGTTCCTGTTAAATTAAGAAGTTTTGGTTTATCAATTCTCTATATAGCTTTTAAGTGTTCTGCTGAGCAGCTGGAGGTCATCAAGTGACCTGGAAAGTTGGAAGCTTGTGAGTGATCTGTAATATTTTGCTGGGTGCTTAAAATCAGTATTTACCTTAGGGTTGTGCTGAATAATTGTTAATAACCGAATTATAGAAATAGCTACATTTTATTTAAATGTAGTTTCAATAGAAATAATATGCATGCCTACTTTGTTTAAATTTCAGGTGCACTGCCAATACAATTTTAGTAAATAGGTAGAGTAGAAGATAGTCTTTCTTCCATACCACTAAAGAGTATAGTAAGAAAATGCTCTATTTTTTTTTCTTTTCTTGAAATTTAAGTCTGTGATCTTAATACACTGGAATTTAACCCATGAGAGATCTTTCAGTATTTTCCTTATATTACCAAACGATTGTTATAGAAGCAAAAATCATATACAGTAAACTATACTAAAAATAACATGTTTACCATAGTAATATTTATTGGGCAGTTATTTTATGTAAGGCTTTATTCTAAATATTTAATGCAAATTGACTCCAATTCTCACAACTTCTCTAAGAACAAGTACTATTTTTATTTGCTTTTTGTACATAAGAAAATGGCAAAGAAAAGTTAATCATTTTACCCAGTCTCTCAGGTGGTGAGCTGCAGAGCCAGGGTTCCAATCTAGACTTTTGGGGTCTAAAGTCTGAATTCTTCATCAGGCTTGACTGGCTTATTATGTATCCACTATTAGTTAAATGCTTAATTCTCAGGAAGCTTATGAGGTTGATATACCATTATGATCTCCATTTAATAATAAAGGGGGTGGCCTAATCAAGGTGGCTCCACCAGTAACTGGCTGAATCAGGCTATTAAACTCAGTTCTGACTCTTAGGCCTGAGATATTAAAGACTACCTACTACTGTCTCCCAGAGGAAACTGCATGCTTATTTTTTCAATCACATTTAGTATTACAATTGAAATAGATTTTAAAGGAAAGTGAAATGGTTCACTTAAAGAGTATAGTGATTAATCTAATCATCACCTAAAAATATTTAAATGCTGTAAAGCTAAATAATAGATTTTTCTAAAATATTTGAATACTACTAAACTAATATTAAATGTTATCATTTTAAGGAATAGTGTTCAAAGGATTATTCTTAAAAGTTGGTATGAATTATCCCATGTCCCCTCCCCTCTCCTCAAACCCCTCTGCCCTATCTAGAGTGTGCATGTCTGAAGACAGAAACTGGTGTGAATATACCATGTATACAACCAGGGATATGAAAAATTGTGCTCTATATATGTAATAAGAATTGTAATGCATTCTACTGTCATATAGAAATAAAAAAAATTACATTAAAAAAAGTTGATATGAAGATTCATCTTATGGTCTATGTGGTTCTTCAGAGTAACCATAGTGACATTAGAGATCTGAGACACTTCAAAAAATTAAAGTTTATTTTAGTTATTCCAAGTATAAAATACTATGTAATACTTTTTGGGCATAATGCATAAGAATATCACAAAAATAAAGCAAATCATAAAGTATTATAATTGTTATCATTGTTATGTCAGTATAGATTACTACATTACTATTTTTCCAAATGAGAGGATTTATCACTTATATCTGAAAAATTAACATGCATTAAAAATTTTTCAAAAAATGTAATGGTTGTTGCTGTTTATTATTACTAAGGGCATTCCTACATAAGTCTGTCATTTCCTTATCTGAGGTCATATTAAGAGTTTTGGTTTCTTAGGCTGGGAACATTGATTATTGGTAGAGTATTGCCTCACATGCATAAAGTGTTGAGTTTGATCCCCAGTGCCACAAAAAAGAAAGAAAGAAAGAAAGAAAGGGAGAAAGAAAGAAAGAAAGAAGATTTTTTTCTTTCCTCTCTATAAAAACTATTACTGCAGAATTTAAAATCTTTTGGTAAACAATGAATGTCAGAATACAAGAAGGTATGTTGTAGGTGGGTTGTGGTACAAACTCTAGCCAAATGGTTTTTGCTATTCATGTCTAATCATGAGTCATTTATTTTTTTTATTACCTTTAGGCCCTTTGAACAGCTTGATTTCCACAACGGTCTCTAAAATGGGTCGTCTTCTACGCACATACAACCGGACAATAGACCCTGCTTCTTTGAGAGCTTCCACCGCTTTACTGTGGGAAACCTCTGACACGTCCACTTCATTCACCCGCAAGATACAATCATTGACCCTGAAAGGAAGAAAAGGAGCCAAGATTCAGTAGTGCTGGGAGGATTTCAAAAATAATATTTTTATTTTTGTGACTTTCTACTTTCATAATAATGGGAAGTAAAAAGTATAAGAAATTGTTAAATGTTCAAATTTGAAAGGATATTTAAACTACAAGAAATCAAGAAAACCTTAAGCTCTCTTTGCCTTCCCAGCCTTTCCCACACTGAGCACACTACTAGTCAGTTTCCATCCTGAACATCAATTCATGCTGACTGAGGCTGCAGCTCATAGTTAGGACATGTATTTTAAGATATCTGTCAATTACATCATTGTTTTGATTGGTTTTAAACTAGTTTGGTTGAAGGTTATGATTTGAGTGGTTCTCAGGACTTATAACTATGGACTACATAGACATAACAAATGTAACTTTATACATTAAATTTTCTAAAATTCTTAATTTGCTAATTGTAAAAGTAATATCCAATCATTTTAGAAAATCTGAAAAATACAAAATGTTAGAAAGATGAAAATTATATATGACTTAATCATCTAAAATAAACTTGCTAACTTTCTGGCAAATTATCTTCAAATACTTTTTCATCAAATTCATCTCACAACATTATAAATATTAAAATTCAGATTTAATGAAGTTTAAAGAGATTTGCAATCTTGTTCAAAGTACTTACTTTGAAAACTAAGAACTATGGCGAGTTCTATGTCAGACTTTCATTTTTTTTCATTTTCACAATGAGAGGAATAATTGGACTTTTCCATAAACATTTCTGGGTAGTTTACAGTTATGTGGCATAGTCTTCAAATGCTTTTATTTTCACAATAACAATTAGTGATAGCATTAATAGTGGTTAAGAGCATGGGGCTTGATGCTAAAGATGTCATCACTCTATATCCATTCTAGAATTCCCCAACACAGATCAGCATGTTGCTCAGAGTCAGGGACAAGGGCTACCCATGCCTGAGTTCTCTTTCCCGCCATCACCACACATTCAGCTGCACCTGCTCAGTGTATCTTTAGTTCATTCAGGTTTCTTCACCTTTACTGGTGCCAACTTCATCTCTCACCTGAACTTTCACAACCACCTGCCTCATCTCCTTGAATCCTCACCTGTCACCTTTTAATTTATTCTCTACATAGTAGCCAGGGTAAAGTGAACATGGTTGATTGCTTATGTAACTTCCATTTCCAACTTCCTCTTTCCAGAGTCCAGTTTTGCTTAGGAGATCTATTATGAGCAAATATTAATTGAATTAATATATAATAGGTTTCAATTCAATCCTTGGGTCCTCTATTTCCTTAATTTTTATCTATGGAAAGTTGTCTTAGCCTCTCTTAAGTGTCCATATTCTCATCTTTAAATTGGATATAATAGCAATATGTAGTACAAAGGCTTTAGGGGAAGATTAAAATAGATAATGTTCACATGAGCCCTTACAAAGTGCCCAATATGTTCCTGATTAATAGTTGTTATTGATAATGGTGTAATATTCATTGATTTCTAATGTACCTAACTACTGGATTCTTTCTGTAACCTTGTGGAATAAGACTTATTATTTACATTAGAGAAATGAGAGAAGTAGTTCCAACTGGTTCAGTCTTTTGTTTAAAGCTGTCAGCAATTTGGGTGGACACTGGATTTGATCTCAGGTCTTCTTCTCTTCAAAATGTAGGCAATTTCCTCTTAGGACCACATATATCTAATGTGATCAATAATTTCATATATGTTTTCACAGTATTTCAAACTTTTAGGCGCAGAGAAGAGATATTATACAAAAAGTATGGGTAGAACTTTCCTGTCTTTGTTTTGTACACAATTTTTCAATGATTGCTTGAGGAGGTGAGCTATAGGAACCCTTGCCTCAGTGAGAACACAGAGCAGCCTCAAAATCCTGAGATGGGACATTTTACAGAGATTCAGTGATATCACTCATCGTAACAGATGGTATAGCTTTAATAGATTTACACATACATTTCCTCTCTGACTGACAAAAAAAAAAAATCCAGAAAACTACCAATTAAAATAGTTTTGAGAACGTAGGCGGCATGGGTGCCAGCCTCCCTGCAGCAGCTGGTCCTTTGAGAATGGGTAATTTTGCCATCTCATGATAATGCAAAAACATTATGTTTACCATCACCCCATGCTCAGAATACTAATCATATCTTAAAACATTGATTTTCACAAAAGGGAGTAGCTGAATTAGAAAAAATTCTGGAGGCTATATCTATTAAACTACTATTTTTTTCCTCTTGCATACAGTGGGATCCTTAATTGTCAATTACGAGTGTGAGGAAAACAGAGCCCAGAACACATGGTTGTTCCTGAATATGTAGATGAAGTAGGCAGATTCAGTGCAGCACACAGAGCACAGGATGATGAGCTGTCAGGAGGTCTGGATCTGAGCCCCAGCTCTGTATCAACTCTATGATCATGGTCAAATTACTTTGTCTCTTTGAACTTTAGCTTTCCATGCAAAGAAAGGAAGCATGTCCAGGGGTGGGGAAAGGAGTAACCAGGAAACTAAAGTGTACAGGTATACGTATAAATGGCAAGATGCCACAGCTATGAAAGTTTTTGCTCTTGACAGGTAGGTCAAAGATATGCTCAGGAAGAGAGAACAGGACAGAAATTTAAATATTTTTGGATACCTACTATGTGATATATTAGTATAATCACTGCATTTATTTATTTTCATTTCAATTTATAAAGATTTGATCCCCATTTTATAAATAGTAGAATTTTACTGACAAGGTCACAGTGCTGATGGGGACAACAAGAAGGTTTTAACCTAGTTTTGTCTTTTTCAAAAGTATATCCTGATACAAAGGTACTCTGAGTTGATCATGTTAAGTTAAAAAAAAATAAATGATGAGGAGGAGTTTACATTCAAATTCTCAAAAGAAGCAGAGAATGTCAAGCCAAACCAGGACACTCAACTTCCTCCCAGTTCACTTGAAATAGAATTTGTCTAGAGGGTCACAGCTATTTAAAATTAATCTGCTTCCTTTACCAATAGATAACCTTTTCAGTGAAGTTAGCACCCTGTATTCATTTTGAAACATAAAAGTGTATCAGCTTTAAATGTAAGGAATACTTTGTCCCAGAACAAAGTACAGCATTTATAGTGTTTCAGAGCCACTGTATTAGAAATCATTTGCATACAGACTTCCTCCCCACTCCACCAATGTAATTAAGCTGATGCTTTCACTCTTCCCATTCTTTCTGTTCAGACATAAGCCTACAACATTCATTTGTGGAAATTTTCATCTTGTGGACCAGAAGTGTGTGCAAGATTGAAAAAATAATTTTAATCTTCTCCTAGGATTTCCTTTAGAAATTCTGGTACATTTCCTTGAATAAAATATTTTAGAAACAAAAAGGACATTTCATCATCAGAAATATTCACAGAATCACATTTAATTTTTTACTTAACAATTAAGTATTCTCTAATATGATGTAGCATTGCTGAAAAATCAAGTGATAATGAATTATTTGTTCCACTTTGAGGATATAATTTAAAATAGCATGAAAGATATACTTTTTTCCAAGGTACCAAAATATGTTTTGCTGGTGAAATAAGATTTCTGGTTTTATGCATTTTAAGGGTATTAATTAATTCAAAATGATCTACAAATAATTGTACTAGAAATTAAAATTTCACTATGTGTAAGTAGTACAGAAGGAAGAAAAGAAAAAGATGTAGGTGTTTTAAAAAGCACATTTCTTTTACATTTCTTCCAAATGTTCAGTAAGAGACATACATCACAAAGAAACCTTAAGAACATGGACCTGGGAGCCTTCTCCCTACCCAAATATATCTGGTAATTCATCCCAGCTCTAAAACTTAGGAGCTGTGCAATTTAGGAAAGTCACTTGACATCTCAAAGCTTCAGTTTCTCCATCAAAAAATAGGGATAGTAAGACTGCTGAATGCCTTAAATGAGATAAGGCAACTGAACTACTTAGCTAAGTGCCTGACAAACAGTAAATATCAATTAATGTTTGTTATTGTTATGCAAAAAAAGAGACACAAGACATTTGCATAGGAGAGCATGCAAAGAGACCCAGTAGAGGAAAAATATAGTAAAAAGAGGAGAGAGCTAAAATCCAGATGCTGAAAGGAGTTAATAAATTTTGTTTACAAAAGGCAGGAAGAGGTGAGATGAATGGTATTTTCAGAAAGAAAAATGTAAAATTAGGGCATTTAGTAAGTCTTGCTTGATGAAACATAATGGAATTTCTCTTTAACATTACATTTGTCTGCCCACAAGAGAATTTCAGTTACAAATTAGCTTTACAGCAGCCTTGGTGAGCTCTTCTCAAGATCAGCACACTTGGCAGAATTCCTACCAACTCATGCCTACTCCGTCCTTGCCCCACTCCCCACTACACCTAACTATGTTCAGACTCTCTCACTATTTAATTCAAAAGGAGGTATTAGGCCACAGGGTCTGAGAGTTAACTTTGCATCAACTATTATTATTTAGGGATGTCCTCTAATGGCTTATCCTTTATTGTTTCTATTCCATATAATTCCTTTTTTTTTTCCCAAATAGATGGATAAATTACAGATCAAAGAACCACGTAATGGAGAAACCTGATAAATGTTCAAGGTGTTAGATGAAATATGATAATGCATGATCAAACAGAAAAACACACAAGCTGGGGAATTATACTGCATCCATGTACAGACAACAATCAATCACTTTTCAAGAATCAGAATCTGTTTAAAAGCAATAACTTTACAGATTCTACGTGAATTATAATGAAACCAGAAACATTTTGAAAGTTAAGATGTCAAAAAATCTTATTTTTTATTTTATTCCTAGAGTTCCTGAAGATAGGTAGATAGATTGAGAACAAATAACAGAAGCTAAGACTTTAAGACAGAAAGACAGAAGATCACATTCACATTCAAGCAGAGGTGAACTTGAATGGTCCTGCTCATCATGACCTATTATAAATACACTAAATTATGTCTTTCTGCTCTCTTTCTCTGTCTTCC